GAGCAGGAAACCTCTCCACTTTCTTCACGTATTTTATTAATAGTATCCTTGCTATTAAATACTTTACAGAATTCGTAGACTATGACACTGCCATTCTATGTCATTGGGAGGTTGAGCATGCTAATCATTTAATAAAAGGTAAGGAGGTAAATCTCCGCAAATATCAACTGCTATTACTAATAAAATCATGTTTACCCACAGAACAGAAGTTAATCTGAGCAACTGATGTTGAAACAGATGGAAAGAAACACCTCATCACTGTGTTTGGTGCATGAAGCTTGATACATGGCTGGGACTCAGTGAACACTTGCTGACTTCTTTGACGGATGAGCTCTGGTTGGGATGCCTGTTGTATGTGCCAGGCTGAATAAATCAAAGCAAAGGAATGTGAAATTTTGCCCCCAAAGACTAAGTTCAGTTGGCACTCTTGAAATATTTTAGCTCATTTCTCCAGGTTTTGACAGTTCCTGGAAATTGTTAGGTACATAACTTGTACTTAGTACTAACATTACCCAAAATATAATAAGAAATAAAAACAACAGGGAGCTTGGGGGATAATACTAAAAATCGCCTTGGGCAGAAGTTCCCACATTTTTTAGTTGAAGACTTTCTGACATCTGGATGGATTATATGGAACTACTTTTAAAAAAAAATTTAATAGCAATTTCCTTTTGCTTTAGGCTCTACCATCAGTTGTTTTTTTTCTCCCTCAGCTGGTCCTTGGCCCTATCTCTGTCTTTCCTTCCACTTTGTAAATGACTACAGCTTCTCAGTTTTCTCTAGACCATCCTTCTTCTCCCTTTTCTTGATCTCCATGGGAAAGTAACCCTGAGGCTAACATTTCCTTAAAAAAAAAAAAGATAAATTATGCAATTAAACAACAAACATTTGTTAAGTATCTACTATGTACCTGGCAGTGTGGTATAGGAGACCAGGAGCTAGGAAGACAGGGCTTTAAGTTCTACCTTTGACACATTCTGCTTGTGTGGCCTTGGGCCAAATCTCTTAACAACTTGGGCCTCTCTAGTCTAAGACTGTAAGTTTTACAGAGGTTGCCCATCCCCATTAGACGAGATGAGTTCCCTCACCTTGGAGTTGCCTGTGTTGTTTGTCCTTCGCTTTCAAAGGGGACCATGACAGCAGGGAGGTGATGCCATGACATGCAAGTGAATTGGATTGAAGTGAGAGAGGGCTGTGCAAAGTCACCAGCCTCACTTTCTCCTCCAGAGCCATCTGGGTCCAGTGGCCAGAAATAGATCAGGACGACTGGGCATGGCCCTGGATATAGTGGGAGACCTTGGCCTTTTAAAGTCTGTCCATGTCCCTTTGGACCAGGTACTATGCTAGCTTCAGGAAAACAACAAATGAAACAGTTTCACTTGAAATGATGGCCTGGAAAGCAGGTATTTCTCAAGAAAGGATTTTGTTTGTTTGTGGGTTTTTTTTTTTTGGGTGCATCATAGTTAAAAATACAACTGTTTTCATTTAGCTCAAATTAAAGTGGAAACAATGTCTGGGTTGAGTCAGCATTTGCAGAATGAAGAGTACAACATTTACTTTCTCTTACGTGAAAGATGGTGGCCCTGAGCATGTGGCTATGTGTGCATTCAGAGATGCTTAGAACATCTATCATGTAGGAACCATGGGAATAGATAAGTATTTCCCTGAATACAGTAGGAGCTCAAAAAATGTTTGAACCACACTGAATATAGGTAAACTCATGTGAATGAATAATTCACATATTAATAGCATCCCTGATATTAAATAAGTGCTTCTCAGAATTCCTATACCAAAGTCCCACTTTGGCTCCTGGTTGTTCCACAAACAAAACATCCATCTCTCAGCTCTGGGCATTTTCTCTGGCTGTTCCCCAATGCCTGGAACCCTGTCCTTCTTCACCTCCATCTGCTTACTTCCTTGGCTTCTTTTAAGTCTAAACTAAAATCCTAGCTTCTACAGGAGGCCTTTTCCAACTCCTCTTAATTTCAGTGCCTTCCCTCTGTTAATATTTCATAGTTATCCTGTAAACAGCTTGCTTTGCATATATTTGCTTGTTGCCTCCCCCATTAGATTGTAAGCTCCTTGAGGACAGGAACTCTCTTTTGCCTCTATTTGTATCCCTAATATGTAGCACAGTACCTGATATAGAGTAGACACTTAATAAATGTTTGCCTCATCATGATATGGAGGTCTTAGGGTCATAGCATCATAGATTTCAAGTTAGAAGGAACCTTTGAAATCATTAAGACCATACTCCTCATTATACAAATGAGGAAATTGAGGTCCAGAGAGTAAAAGTGACTAGCGTGCGGTCACACAGTATGAAAAGTGCTTTGGAGAGAAGGGACCTGGGTTCAAATTCCATCTCTGAAACATTGTACCCATGTGACCTTAGGCAAGACACTTAATTTCCCTAGTCCAGGGGTGGGGAAACTATGGCCCCGAGGCCACATGTGGCCCTCTAGGTCCTCAGGTACAGCCTGCTGACTGGATCCAAACTTTACAGAACAAATCCCCTTAATAAAAGGATTTGTTCTGTAAAACCTGGACTCAGTCAAAAGGCCAAACCCAAGGACCTAGAAGGCCACACCTGGCCTTGAGGCTCCAGGTTCCCTACCCCTGCCCTAGTCCCTAGAATACTGTTATCCACATCTGTTATGTGGATACTGTGGATATATTACTACTGTAATCTACATCTGTTCAATATTCTGGATGGCTTCCAAGGTTCCTTCCAGTTCTTGGTCTATGATGCTATGAATGGAAAGAATCTTGCAGTGGAAGTCAAGAGAACTGAGCTCTAGTATTGGTAATGTTGAAAAGAGTACTAGAGGGGCAGCTAGGTGGTGCAGTGAATAGAGCACTGGCCCTGAAGTCAGGAGGACCTGAGTTCAAATCTGGCCTCAGACTAAACACTTGATACTTACTAGCTGTGTGACCCTGGGCAAGTCACTTAACCCCAATTGCCTAAAAAAAAACCACACACACACACAAACCAAAAACAAACAAACAAAAAAACCCAAACAAACAAGAAAAGAGTTCTAGACTTGGCATTCGGAGACCCGAACTGGAAACCTAGTTGGTACGCATCTGTGTGACCATGGGTAAATAAGTTGTTCTCTCTGGGCTGCTGTTTGCTTATTTGGAAAGTGGAGATTGTAAGACTCATAGGGATACTGAAAGGACAACACTTCAGAAATCTCAATGTCCTATATAAATGTCAATTATTTTAACATTGTTATTAGCTGGGTGACTTTGGCAAGTCAAAACCCCCTGGGCCTCAGTTTTCTCATTAATAAGAAGAAAGTGGAGTAGGTAGGTAGTGCACTGGCCCTGAAGTCAGGAGGACCTGGGTTCAAATCCAGTCTAGCTTTGTGACCTTGGGCAAGTCACTTAACCCCCATCACCTCAAAACAAAACAAAACAAAAAATAAGAAGAGTGGGATGAAATAGTCCTGAAAGCACTTTCTGCTTTATAGTCATATAAGAGAGATTATATGCTCCTCTCTTTCTTCCCTTTCCCCCTCTCTGTTTCTGTCTCTCTTCTTCTATAACTATCTTGATGTAGACAGAAAGGAGAGATAAGCTCTCACAAAACTGAGTGACAAAAAGGCTTTGTAGCTATACAATGATCTAGCTTTTAGAATTAACTCGATTAAAAGAAATGTCCTGACTGGCATGAAGAGCATGATTTTCCTGGCATTTGCTGTAATGTCCAACAAATAATCATTTGAAATAGCCCTGAGTAACCAGAGAGGCAGTGTGGAGTAATAAAGAGAGAACTGGCCATGAAGTCCAGAAGACCTAAACTCAAGCCTTGCCTCTTACATATACTGATGGTGTCACTCTGGGTAAGTCATCAACTCCTCTGCTCTAGGCGAAACACGAAGCTGTAAAGAAGGTGTTGACCTACACTGGTAGAAGGAGGGCCCCTTACCTGGAAGTTCTCTATACCAATGAAATGATAACTCCAATCCCTGTCTCTAACTCCGAGCACCCAGATACATTCTCGAGACTGTGACCGTGCCTTATAGTCATTAAGAGAAATCAAGTGCTCTGGGAAATTGTCATTCAGGTCTTACCTCCTTGAGTGGAAACATTGTTCTAAGAAAGCCTATACTACCCTAACAAAGATGAGAAGGGAATGAATGACTGGGAGCCATGAAGACGCCATCTATCCCAGGAAAAGGCCACACAATGACAAACTCATTCACACAAAGGTGTAAATGACTGATAATAGAATATTAGCTCCAAGGTCTGAGATACCAGAGAGAGTATGTGGGCCTAGAAACCTAAAATATGGGGTAACTGAAGGAGAGGCAAGGGGACTGAAAAGTGAGGCTAGAGTTGACAAAGATGAACTTCATCTATTTCACAATTTTGCCTTGGGCAATCTTTGCCTATCTTGTTTTTAATTTATATCAAGAATAACAGACATTTTTATACCATTTTAAGCACTTTATACATATTCTCTCATTTGGTCCTCACAACAACCCTGTGAGGTAGGTAACACAGGCATTCTTTTTTTACAGAGATGGAAACTGAGTCAGGGAAGTTAAGTGACTTGCACATAGTCATTCAGTTAGAGAGTGTCCAAGTTAGGAACTGAACTCAGATCTTATAGTACCAGATCCACTTCATTAATGGCACTTAAATAAGTATGGTTCAATATATGGCAGGGGTCAACTCTTCATAGCATGGGGCGACAAATCATAGAATCAGTGTCACATACACAGAATCAATGTCACGTATACCTCATATAATTTGTAACGAGAATCCCACCTCCCCTACCACGGCATTTGCAACCACCAGTAACCTTAGGTTAAAAACCTTGCCTTCTCTTGATAAAACTCCTTTGAGGTATGATGATTAAGGCAGTGCTCTTCCTTCCAGGGAGAAGCAGGTAAACCCAGTTAGTGTATTATTTGATTAGCTCATATCAAAGCAAAAAGCAAGAAACATTCATAGGAATCAGGTGAACACTGCTATATGCTGGCCCCTACCATGTTGCTCTGAGACTGCGTGGCCCCATACATGGTGATTCCATTTGTCGGTGCTGCTGGCTGTGGTGTGTCCGGCTGGATAAATCCTCTTCTATCAATTAGACTGAACAAGAGAAGAGAGAAAAGGAAGGGAGAATGAATTGAAAGCACAAAAGATGTTCAGAGATGTTTCTGATTTTCCTTCTCTCTAAAGACTTTCTGGATTATAGCATGGTTGTCTGCTCAGGGGTGTGTGTGTGTGTGTGTGTGTGTGTGTGTGTGTGTGTGTGTGATCTCATTTTCAAAAGACTCATTCCCAGAACATTGGTTACCAGATCAGGATTTATTTTGTATACATAGCTACTCATTAAATATGAAGGACTTTTAATCAAAGTCAGGAAGAGTAATATATGTATTGCTGAAATAATGGAACTTTCAAAGTATAAAAGTTCACAGGACAACTTCATACAAATAGCGTGGAAAGGCCTATTAGTGAAGACTTTGGTCTCTTATTATTACTATATGTCAGGCATTGTTCTAATATTAATATAGACTGACATTAATATAGTGCTTTAAGTTATACAAAAATCCTGTGGGGTGTATGGGGCAGTGTGGTTTGGTACAAAGAATGGTGAGTTTAGAGAAAGAGGACCTGGGTAGATCCAGACTCTGCCATTTACTATCTATGTGACCTTGGGCAAGTCACTTAACCTTTAGGCCTCAGTGGTTTCATCTGTAAAATTAAGATGTTTAACTAGATGACCTTTAAAATCCCTTCTAATGCTAAATCTACAATCCTGTGAATCTCTCCATTTTGCAGATGATGAAATGGAGGCTCAGAGAGGCTATTCAACTTGCTTGTGGTCACAGAGCTAGCAAATACTACAGCCAGAATCTGAGCCCAAGGTTCCTACCTCACGTAGGCTACCTTCCTTTCCAGGCTTATCCTTGATTCATCAGACTTTCTCTGCCATGTCCCCACTTGAGTACCTTCTGTCCTCTTTTTCCCCACCCCCATTACTTTCCAGCCTCCTTTCATGTGTTGTCTTCCATCATTAGAATGTAAGCTCCTTGAGGGCAGGTACTGTCTTTCTGCTTGTATTTGTATTCCCAGGGCCTGGCACATAATAAATGCTTAATAAATACTTTTTGACTAGCTCAGCGCTTTCCCCAATACTTCAGACCAAGTGGTATTTTCCCACTTCATTCCAACATGTCAAACATCACTATCTAGAACATCACTTTTGAAACAACTGAAAAAGCCGCCATATATAAATTCGGGTGTTAATGAAGAATGGAATTATGGGACTTTAAGATTTGTCTTCAAATGAAGGGGATATCCCGTACCTATAATTTCAGGTCTCTTAAAAAAAATACTGGGAAAATTATGTGTAGTGTGATTGTCATTATGAACATCTACAGATGTATTAGTGCCTTTGGAATAATAAATTTGATATGATGATGAATATAAAAAAAAATACTGGGGTAGGGAGGGGTTTTTAACTGCTTCTCATGTTAAGGCTTTGACCTGAGGGTGACAAGGAGAGATTCTTGAATTCTCAGGAGGGCAACTAGGACAGTGAGGGGACTGAAGAATGTGCTAGTTGAAGAGTACTTGAAGAAACTAGGGATGGTTTGCCTGAAGAAGAAAGTCAAGAGGAGCAGGGTAGCCATTTTCAGGTATTTGAAGAACTGTCACATAAACAAATAAACATATAATTCTGTTTGTTCAGTAGGTCTGCACAGGGTACCTCATTGAGAGGTTATAAAGTAACTAGAGGGTAAAATAAGGGCATTGTAGGTCAGTAGGGAGAAAGGGGAAGGAAATTTTTTTTTAAAAAGTAGGATAGAGAGGATACTAAAGGCAACCCACATTCACTCCAGTCTACATTTAGATCTGCACTAGAACTCATTCTGATTTGCATTTTTAAGTTACCAAGTATTTGATGGCTAGAGTGTGCATGTATGTGTGTGTGTGTGTGTGTGTGTGTGTGTGCATGTGTGTGTGTGTGTGTGCAGCAGTGATAACTCAAGAAAGGGTAATGGTAATGCTTCATTGGAGGAATACTCTTCCCTCCTGTCCTTGGCTATATGAAAAGTATCAAAGATGGTCAGCTGATAGGGCAGTGAACAAGTGAAAGTAGCCCACCTGTGTTAGCTTCCTCTTTAGATGGCAAAAGCCCCATGATGTTCTAGGGTCTGAGTATTCTCTGACTCCAAGATGGAGTGGTAATGGGCAATAATTATTGTTCAGTGTGCACACACACATTTTCCCCCCCTCACTTTCAAAAAGATTTTCTTTTAGGGGCATCATTTATATTCCAGGGGGAACCTATATTATAAACTGGCATATAAAAAAACTTTATAATTAATTGTTTTGCTACACTCAGGGCTGGCTAAATCATTAGAGGAGATCATGACTCAGCACTTGGCACAGTGCCTGGCCATAGTAAACATTTAATGAATGCCAGCCTACCGACTGACTGACTATAACCTGTTTGAACATCTAAAACCTAAAGAAACTCTTGGTGCAGCTGACAGCGCTGCAAAGGATGGCTAGAGGCACCTCGAAAGCGCAGATTGTCTTTTATCCTTTGTACACCCACAGCTTAGCACAGTGCCTGACACAGCAGGGACTTAATAAATGACTGAAAAAGCAGTTGGAACTGTATAACCTAGACTAGAGAAAGGAAGCTTCTTGAGGGCAGGGACTGTATTTTATTCTTATCTCTATCTCTTAACACTTTTCATAGTACCATGGAAGCATCTGGTAACTAACTGGCTGAATTTGTTAAATTTAAAAGCTTAACTATAGCAGATTCAGAGCTTCAAATACATGCAGGATTGGTGTAATGAAATTGGAGACTAGCCATGTTCCATCTCTACTCTGAGGAGAGTAAGAGGAGAATTAATTCAATGTGAAGGAAGTTTAGGTTCGATGTAAAGACTCTCCTCGGAGTCAAGGCTGTTGGATACTGGAATGGTTCACCAAGACATGTTGTTTCCCCAGACTGTTAGGAGTAGACCTAACATTCATGGCGGTGGGGTGGGGAAGAGGAGGGTGGGATAGGGATAGCTCTAATGAGATGGCCTTAATGATACTTTCTAGTCCTGTGGCTCTCTCTCTGGTGGTTATTTTCAGTCCATCAGAAAGTGGAGAAAAACCTGATGAAAATATTCACAGTAGAAATTCTCAGCTTCTCTTTACAACAGATGAACCAGTTTAATGACTTAATGTTATTGATAGCACATGATTCTGTCAACATACATCTTAAAAGACAAGCATAACCCTTGCTGATTCCTGGATCACCAGCGGAAAATCTGAGCTCCCAACCATGGCTCATGCCTCCTGTGTTGGAATAAGGTAGACTTCACCCCTGGGATTAGTTTAGAGTCTTTGAAAATGGGTGAATTCTGGTTAAGAACATGGGGAAGTTTTCAGGATTCTATGATATAACTGTGCTAGTAATACTAAACGCAAAAAACTCTGGGCTGTTTTGCTTTTATTTAAAAATAAAATCATCCTACTCCCTACCACCACCTAAATCTGACCGCATTCTCTAGCTATTGTTATTGACTTCTTGAGCGTCTGAAAGGCCACCCATAAATCAGCTTGGCAATCTCATGGACTTTATTCCAGACAAGTTCTTGCTCCTTATGACAAAATAATAACACTTTGGAAAAGACTGATGATAAAAGTCTTTGCCTCTCTCTCTTTAAAATGGATGGAGGGATTTGGTTCTAAGAAAAATTTGAAAAGAACACTCTTTCCTCCTCTATTTTCTCCAAGACAACCTCCTTCTCATGTTTTAAATAGCTGAGAATATAGAAGAGACACACTTGAAATCAATCCTATTCTTAATAACTGAGTTTAAAAAAAAAACCACCACACACACACACACACACACACACACACACACACACACGCATACACGCAGTCAACACCAGCCAAAGGCTTAAACCGAACCCACTTATAGAAGAATTAATTTTTGTCATTACAAAATTAGATCTGTAAAGTAAAAAACATGATTGACTACAAGTATTGAGCTAGGAATAAGGGGAAAAAAGATTTTTATAAAAGGAGAAATTCTGTAAATCTTCTCCCTAAAGACAATCCCAGTCCTCTTTCAAAAGGAAAAAAAAATTTTGGCGATATGATAGATGATACCTGTTGAGTTTTTTCTATTACAAATATGAGAAAAAACCCAAGTCATAAAATAGTAAAGATTCCCCAAAATATTCCTATGCATTATTCTTGCCTAATCAGTAATTCCCAACTGATGCTCAGAACTAACCCTTCTGAGGAGCACAGTTAGTTATCTAGGCCTTTGGGGTCTTGTTCACCAAAACTCTAAGCTACCTTCTTTCATCCTCAATTCTTCATAGCCCTCTGATTATCTATAAGTATGTCATCTGAAAAACATTACCTGGTTATATTTAGATTGTTTAATACAACAGTCTAATACGATAGAACTGGAAGAGATTTATTTGCTTTTTTTTAAATCTTTTTTTTTTTTTTTAATTTTTAGGCAATTGGGGTTAAGTGACAACCAGGGTCACACAGCTAGTAAGTTTCATGTGTTTGGTCTGAGGCCGGATTTGAACTCAGGTCCTCCTGACTTCAGGGCCTGTGCTCTATCCACTGTGCTACCTAGCCGCCCCTATTTGTTTGTTTGTTTTTTTTTTAATATTCAGGATAATAATAAAAATATAAAAAAATACAAAATATAAAACCCCCCAAACAAACAAGAATTGGAAGAGCTCTCATGGCCATCTGGTCCAATTTGTATTTGACAAAGAATTTCCTTTCCCACACATCCAACAACTGGTCCTCTAGTCTTTGCTTGAGGACCTCTAGAGACAGGAAGCCCACAACCGCCAAGAAAGCTTATTCTACTCTGGAATAGCTCCAATTATTAGGAAGTTTTCTCTTTTCTTCAAACCTAAAATTTTCAATTTCTGCATATTGCTTATAGTTCTGACTGACCTTCTGGGGCCAAGCATAATAATTCTAATTCCTTTTCCATGTGACATCCCTGCAAAAATATGAAGATGGTTATCATGTTCCCCTAGAGTCATCTCTAATCCAGGCTAAACATTCCCAGTTCCTTCAACCAGTCCTGATATAGTATGAACGTGAGTTCCTTCATTGTCCAACTTTTACCCTTCTCTAGATACCCTATAGCTTAACATCATGACTCTAAGCTATACACGGATTGAAACTACTGTTAATATTCTTATTTCAGAAGAAACTGCAATAGAGTCAACTTTCAATTATGCACATCAATGAAATAGTCCAGATGATTCAAAATAGTGTGTAATTCAAAAAATATCTGTCTTATGAATGCATGGTTAATTCCTTTTGTTGTATAAAATACCTCTTTACCCAATAATGTTTTTACCTTAATAATAGTTGGTTGATGCTCCATGAACTCACACCAATTGATCACGGAGCTTGGTGACTGAGAAGTATAATATGCACAGGGCTGGCCTAACTCAGAGGAAAGCAGATATTTTCCCAATAACTTTTGATGTAACTTGCATTTTTATCATATTTGGAGGGGAAAATGGAAGATGTGCCTGTGTGCTGATGCTTTTAGAAACCTTATCTAAAGACCTAAGATTATGGGATTTGTCAGCCTAGTGTCCCATCCCCCACCCCACCACATAGGCCATCAATAGATGCATGTTGATGTTGGAGGTTATGGTGAACCTAATGGAGGTAGTCCCAGCATGAAAACCAATGCTAGGATTAAAAATCAGCTGGGGAACACAGTGGTTCCCTAGCATCTTAAACCTGTGCCGCTGACTTCATTCCCTAATACTCTAGGTCATACAGATCTCTCTTTTCTCTGACATCTATCAGCATTTGCAGTCTGTACCATATTGTACTGGATTATTTGCTGTCTCTTGTGGTTTTCCAATAATTTAATGTATGTTAATCTTATCTCTTCAACCAGATGCTAAATTTGTTCTGGCCTGGGGCAACTTCTTAACATAACCACAGTGCTAGGCACATGGAGGACATCAATACTTGTTGACTTCATGATTCCTTATTAGTAAGGATATCACGGGTCCTTACTAGGGCTGAGGGGCTTAGTTTTTGTGTTTGACACTGATTCTGCAAAATAAACAAGCAAACAAAAAAAAGTCCCCATTCCATTTTATAAAGCCATTTCATAAAAATTTTGTCTACATCAGAAAAAAACAAAGTAGGAATCTCACAATCATCTGGTGAATTTAATTGGAACAGACAGATGGCCTGGGTTAATCTATGCCTTTAAAAAAAAAATCTACCTTTGGTTGTCTACTTAGATCAAAGTCTCCAGATGATCAAATCACCATTTCACTTTGCCTGGTACAGCTACAGCTTAAGGATTTAATTTATTTACGTATAAAGCCTGAGATCTATAATGAAATCATCCCTTTCAGAGGACATGACTTTTTGCAAAGCTTACCTTGGAGAGACAGGCCCACAGAGAGCAGCGCAACAATTTGTAATGATGTTTCCATAGCTGTAGGGATTATAATTTTCTTTACCTCTTTTATTTGACCAAGATCCTTTAATCTGAAAGACATGGAAAATTTAATACATATGGTATTCCTTTTATTGAAGTCACAGTTTAGGCAAACTGGCTTTCAGGGCATTGCTTATAGATATTGCTAGATATTGCACAGATATTGCTATCTCCATAAGTGAGACCACGAAGTATACTTTCTCCAAACTTTGGAATCCTAAATTTTCAATTTTGAACAAGTGAGTTAGGTAAGGAAGAAAGGGACTTTATAAAGAGCTTTCACCTTATATTCCTTCCACATGACATTCAAAGGTAAAAAGAATATTTTTTCAAGCTTGCATTTAGTGTTCTGAAGCAATCAATAATTAGATAGATGGCAGATAGAGTTAATATAGCTCCCCAAAGTGATTAATGTTTCTTCCAGGAAGTAATTTATATACTGAAAGAATTCTGGCTCATATCATTGTTCCAGTAGTTTGTTCTGTAACATCTGTCTAAGAATTACAAAGAATGTCTCTTGTGGGTTCCAGTGATGAAGTCCATGGAAAATACACAGGATTATAATTCCAGAATTAATGCTTCATGTTTTAATTTTTGAAAGCTTATTTTATATCTCTATCAATTTTCACATGTCTTCTTTTAGGCTAACTTGGTAGATTCTGTTTAGCTATTTTTGTCATATGTTTACAAATATTTCCATAATATATATTTTTTTAATTTAGTGTTCAGCCTGGCTTGAGAAATATCTTCCAAAATTACTTTTTAATACCCATATTGTAACATCTTTCAGGATTCTGAGAAAGATAAACTTGGATAAGATATTTAATTAAAAATAGGAACAAGATAACCCATCTCAGCATTTAAACAGAGGTATAGAACAGAGATGGAATTCACAATTGTATTGTAATCTTACATTGCAGTAATCTTTCCATTTAAATAGACGCAAAGTTGTTTTTTTGTTTTTTTGTTTTTGTATTAGACATCTGATTTCATTGACATAGGGCACTCTGAATGAGGAAACTCCATCCACCAATGTATATTGGCTCATATTTCCCAACCTCTAGTCATAAAGAGTTGCCTAAACACTGAGAGGTTAATGACTTTCCAAAGGTCACACAGTCAATATGTTAGAAGCAGGACTTGAAAACAGGTCTTCCTCACTACCAGGATGACCTTTTTTTCCATTTCTCTTTGCTTCCTCTGAGATATATCTCTTAAGCAATGATTTTTAAATTATAAAGCCAACTCCCTCCCCTTCCCTTTGGTGCTCTGTATTAGGGGTCTTTGGGCCAGACCTTGGGGTGAACTTACTTATACATGAGCACAAGATAATGTTTAGGGATTAAACATGATATATAGGGAACAATGTAAAATGATCTTTTAATAGTTCCTGTTTGTTTCAAAAGGAGCAAAGTTTAAGTGGCCTGTACTGTGTGACCCTGGGCAAGTCACTTAACCCTGTTTACTTCAGTTTCCTCATCTGTCAAATGAGCTGGAGAAGGAAATAGCAAATCACTCCAGTATCTTTGCCAAGAAAACCCCAAATGGGGTCATGAAGAGTTGGACACGACTGAAACCACTCAATAACAACAACCCCATAGAGGCAAAATCAACATTACCAGTACTTCCCTACTTCATTTTCTAATCAACATAAGTAAACATGCACATTTCCCATAAAGTCACTTACATCTTCATTTGTAGTTTGATTGGAGCTGATCAAATATGTATGGAAACCTGAGAGACCAACGATAGACCAAACAGAAAAGAAACACACCACGGCTTCCAGCACAGTGATTTAAAGTCAAGGAAGTGAATTGGGAGGAAAATGGAATATTCAGACAGCTTAAGATGTTATATAAAAAATGAGGGTTTTAAAGTTTAACACTGTGACTAGCTAATGTCCAACTGTGGTCAAAAAAGTCAGAGGCAGGCCTTTTTATACCAAGACAGGATGTTTTCTTTCTGGCTACAAACTGTTCTCCTCTGTATCTAAAGTACAAAAATGTGTAAGTGCCAACTCTGCCACTAATCATCCATGTGACCTTGAGTAAGTCACTGACAATCTCTGAGTCTGTTTCCTCATCTGAACCTGGGGAATTTTTGTATTGCAGATAAGCAATTAAATTGATTAACAATGAAATTAAACAAAGATTAAATAAGCATTATAATTCAGCAAAGAGATATTGGGAGGAATTTTATTTTTAACCTTAAAGTATTATACAAAAGTGAGTTGTTATTACTATTATTATTATTACTAGTTGCCCAGAAATTGTAATGGTTGGTTTATAGTCATAAGTTTAAAGGATTTTAGAACTCAATGTCCAACTCATTGTTTGGGTGAGAAAACTGAGACTCAGAGTGGAAAGAGCACTGACTGGATTTAGAGCACTGATACTCTCTACATGACTGTAGCCAAATCATTTAACCTTTCTTGGCCTCAGTTTCCTTATGTACAAAATGAGGGGGAACCTTTTACCTTTAGATCTACGATTCTATTAAATGAGTTTCTCAAGATCACACAGCTCTTCAGTGGCAGAGCTCAGACCCAGATATTCAATGCTTTTTGACCAATTAAAAATTGGACCATTCCCCTATAAAAAAAAAAAGTTTAACAGCAACATAGACATTATGTATTTTTTCCACGGCAAAACTTTGAGCCCATAATCATATTTATTATTTGTTCAAGGGCATGTTACTCAAAATTGCTATACCTGGATTAGTACACCAGCCTCCTCCTGTACTCCAGGGTCTCTCTACTTTAATACATCTTTCATATATATCACTGCCAGACTACAATAATTTTGATCATGTCACTCTTGCCCTAAACCTTTTATTAGCTTCTTACTTCCTTCTATGTCAAGTATAAACTCCTCTGCTTGGTTTGCAAGACTTTTAATTTGATCCTACTCTAATTATCTAACAATACTGGTTGTCTGACACTCACCCTTCCCTCCTCTCCCGCCAGCCTTTTCACCGCCCTGCAAGTATGCTATGCTCACTTCTGCCTCTGTGACTTTATTCATGCTGTATCCCATGACTGAAATGCCCTCTCCTCTTTCCTCAATTTGTTTCAAATCTTGCCTATCTTTCAAGATCAAGATCAAGCAAATCTTCTTCACAAAGCCTTTCCTGATAATTTTGAATCTCATCTATTTCCCTCTCTGACCTATTACAATCATCTAGTTCTGGACACTTGCAGTAATGACAGTTGATACTATATCAGCTGGCGCGTAATCATATTGGGTCTTGTTTCATTCACTGTGGCATCACCGTTGTTAAGTTTTTGTTTTTTTTTTTCCTTTCTAACTAAACTCCTTGAAGGTTGGAACTGGGCACCTGGCCTTGGAGGCAGAATTTCAATCCTTCTCCCCTCCATTTTACTTATTTATTTTATATGTCTGTCCTACTTCCTCAACCCCTATTTGAACAATCAGAAAACACAAACAAAACCCTCATACACAGACCACCAAAAAAGATCCCCATATTGACCATAACAAAAAAATTTTTAAGTATCTCATTTTGCATTTTAAGTCCATCATTTCTCTAGCAGGAAGTGGATACCATGTTCTTTGCCCTCAGTCATTTGACCTCTGTCTCAGTTTCCCTATCTGTAAGATGAGCATAATAATAGCACCTACCTCCCAAGGTTGTTGTAAAGATAAAATGAGATAAGATTTTTAAAGCTCTTTGCAAAAGTTAAAGTGCTATATATACAAGCTAGCTATCATCATCATCATCATCATCATGGTTTATCATTACATGATTTCAATCCTGCCACTGTTACTAACAGTACAAACATGAGCAAGCCCCTTATTAATAACTCACATTTTTATAGTGCTTTAAGATTTTTAAATCACTTTCTTCACAATAACCTAGTAAGACTACTTCAGTAGTAACCCAGTAAGCTATTTCATATATTAGATCCTCATTTTACAGATGAAGAAACTGAGTCTCAGAGAGGTTAAATGGCTTGCCTAGGGTCATGAGGTGGTGAACAGAACTGGGATCCAGACCCAAGTTTTTCCAAATCCCAAAACCAATGCTCTTTTTGCTACATCTCCCTGCCCCTACCTCGTTGTATCTGAGTTTCCTAATCTGCAAAATAAGGATAATCCTAATTGTACAAGATACCTCACAGGACTGTTGTGGGCACATACTCTGTAAATCTTTTTTTTTTTTAATTTTCATTAATTTATTTTGATTTATCAGCAATCACTTCCATATGCTTTTGAGTTTAAAATTTTTACATACTTTGTAAATCTTAAAGCACCAATTGGACAGTACCCTAGCACAGTGCTCTTTACCTAATAGGTGCTCATTAAATACTTCCTGATTTTCTGAAAAATTACTGAACAATAATTGGACGACTATTACTCCTTTCTCTTTTGAGGGCTTGCTGCCTGCCCTTCAGCCACAAGGACTTCTGATCCACTTCAGTCATCTAGACCAACAACACTCGTATCTACAACAGGGAGCACAGTCCTATGTTCCCAGCAGTTTATATTTTCAGTTCCAGAACTGAATTTGGCGCAGCCTCTCAATCATAAATTCTAAATTCTGCTCCTGAAATCTCATTTGCTCAGAGGCTAGTATCCACAGGTTCCTCCAAAAGACCAGTTGTTATGGCTATCTACAGGAGAATCCTTATGCTAATTATAGTTGAATGCAAGGCTGGACCATGGCAATTGTGAAGCTAACCAACTTTGTTCCCTATCTCTCCCCTCCTTCTTTTGAATCTTGTCCTCATTCAGTGATCCCTTCCCTCTCATGAGGCACCCAGGACTCTCTATTCCTCGGGCCTTTTCTGTTAGGAGCACGAGTATCTAGCTATGTCCTTTTCACTTTATTTTTATTGGATTGTTCTTTCTCTTTCCCCTCCCACAGTCCACTGCATAATTATTATTATTATTTTAATCCATTGCATTATAAAAGAGGATGCTTGGAAGGAGAACCCTAAGGAATACATCTATAATGGTGGCATTTCAGACAGCATAGTGCCAGGGTAGGGTATGTATTTTTGATCTGCATTGGGACAGATCCCACAACTGTCTCATATAATAATTTTCTCTAAGATTACTTTCCATTTAAACTCTATATATCTTGTACGTACAATTTTTTTTTTTGGTATCTTGTCTTCTCCATTAGGATGGGAGCTCCTTGAGGATGGGTACCATATTTTGGCCTTTCTTTGTATCCCTTGCACTTAGCACAACACCTGGCACATAGTAAACACTTAATAAATGCTTGTTGACTGACTACATAGGGGATAATTTAGTGAAAGGGCTAGCTCTAGGCTCCTGACAAGCAAGAGAGAAGCCCCTGGGACTCCTCATTGCCCGTCACTTCAGAGGAAGTCTAGCAGTCCACAGGATGTGTCTGTAATATGTAACCCAAAGGAGAAGTCTGGTTCTCTATAATACAAGTTAAATCAATAAAGAAATAGGATTGTAGAGGCTTGAAAACATAGGAGAGCTCTTCTATCCCATAAGTGTTTAAAAATTCTGTTTCTCAGGGAAAATAATATATACCATGGGTCTGGAAGTTTAAAACTACAACATGCATCCTCATCAATAAATTACAGTCCAGAGAAAATAAATATTCATGACTTCCTAATGTGTTTAAGGAGAAAAGGTATATGTCAAGTTATAAAACATTACCATTGATTTTTTTCCCAGGGTTTGAGATTATTCATATTCAGTTCAGAAAAAGGAATAACTTACTCCTTGAAATTTCATGCCTTACTATGCTACTAATAGCTGAGCATTACCAACATGGATGGGGCAGGGGTAGTATACAAAGTAAGGAGCAGAAATGAATGATTGCCTGTTCTATCAGCTCTCATTCTACATCAGGACAGGTGGGAGGCATTATCTGCTCTAATCTGGAACCTCACTTGTCTGGATGTCAGTCAGTTTATCAGTCAATTTTGTTGTTGAGTTGTTTCAGCCCTGACTCTTCATGACCCAATTTGAGGGTTTTCTTGGCAAAGATACTGGAGTGGTTTACCATTTCCTTCTCCAGCTTATTTTTACAGATAAGGAACTGAGACAAACATGTTTAAGTGGCTTGCCCCAGGGTCACACAGCTATAAATGTCTGAGGCTGGATTTGAAATCAGATCTTCCAGACTCAGGGCTGTACCATCTAGCTGTCCCATCAGTCAATAAGCACTTATTAAGCCCCTACTATGTGCCAGTGGTATTATGCTAAATGCTAGGATACAAAGAAAGACAAAAGACAGTACCTGCTATCAAAGAGCTCACATTCTAATGGTGAAAATGATGTGCAAATAACTATGTACAATCAAAATATATACCAGGTAAACTGAAGATAATCAATAGAAGAAAGGTCCTAAGATTGAGAAGGACTGGGAAAGGCTTCTATTAAAAGGCAGGATTTTGTCTGAGACTTGAAGGAAGCCAGGAATCCAAGAGGCAGAGATGAGGAAGGACAGTTTCAGGCAAGGGACAGGGTCAGTATGGAGTCAGGAGATGAAATGTTTTCTATGAGAAACCACAAGAAAGTCAGTGTCACTGGATCTTAAGAGTACATAGAAGGGTTTTAAGGTGGAAAAAGACTGGAAAGGTAAGAGGGGAGTCAGGTTCTGAAGGATTTCTAACAAAGTTAGATATCTAGAAAAGGACAGAACCCAGAGGTTTGTTTGTTTTTTTTTAAAAAGCATCTCTGACAGTGATAAAAGAATCTTTGGCTGGCAAACAGTGATTAAATAATGAGACACAAAACCTGAAATTACACCTGAAACTTAACCCACTCTATGCAAGCTGAGAAAT